CATTATACATTTATATATATTTATTATTTTTATTATATTGACCTTTCAGCCACGCCCGGCTAACAATACAGAAGTTACAAAGATGCAGCGCACGTGCACTCATGTTATCATATCCAATAATATAAAACTGACCTTTGGTCTCTACAAAGTGACCTGTCTTTGTTGTATTTTAGTGGACTAGTATTTTGTAAAATACAGTCACATTTCAATTATTATACATTATATATGTGTATAGATTATTACTATTTACAAATAAGTTCTTAAACTTATTTTTCTTAAAAAATAGAACAGTAAATAAAGCTTCTAGTTCTGACCTTTGCATTCATTTGCTGCTGCCATAGGTTGCTAAGCCTTACCAACTTTTGCATATGGAGGATGTGAAACGAAATACTTTTTTTAGTTTTTATATATACATTTGAATAACCAAAAAATCATAAATGACTATATCAATATCATAGAACTCAATTATAATTTATAAATTTTCGTAATAAGGTTGTATTTGGGTCTAAAAAAATATGAAATTTCAAGCAGACTAAAGACTCAACTTACCTCTATGCCATCTTATATCGAAAGAAAGATATAAAGACTATATATTTGAAATTGGCTGAGAAAGCCACTAGGTGACATTCTGAGCTTTTGATTGGTTATTCACAAGTCATATATAGAAGTAAGTGTATAGAAGGAACTGTTTCTTAAAATTGAAAGAGGTGAGCCAGACCACTGCATTTGATTCAGTAATGAGAAATATCTCGGCAAAACGAAAAGATAGGAGGTTCTTATTTTATATTCTAGCTTGTCAATATTGGTAATTTGAGTTCCTAATTCATAAAAAACTATAGAATTTGTATTTTGAGATCACAAACATTCAACATACCACGTGACACACAAAAATCAATGTTTAGGTGTGTTTTTTTAATATTTACTTTTAAATTAAGAAATTAAATAATGTATAATACTAAAATTTGAATTATAATATACAGTTAGATACCAAACTTATTGACATTAATTCATGAAATAGTAGTTCAATGAAATTTTGAATATGAGTCAACAAATGCAATGACATGGCCTTTGACCCATCCGGAGAGGGTTAATTGCATGTCTAACATTTACACATATAGTTTATTTTTAATGTTTTATTTTCGTTTCCTATCCTTTAGCATTGTTATTGTTTATTGCTACACACATCAATAAGGCATCCCCGGCCAATATCATGGTATCGAGGGCAGAGGAACTTTAGCCATTCAGAGAATATGGTAGCACATGCATATGAAGCACTTGAGGCATTTTATTAACATTACAAATGCTTCTAGGAGAGAAAATTTAATTTTCTCTGTATGCTGTACATCCCTGTCAGTTAAGCAAGGATATGCACATCACCGAGCATATAACAGAAGCTTTGCAAAGGTTTTTTGTCCAAATAAGGAAATGTTTATATTAAATTAACATATACAAGTCAACTGAGTCAAGTTTACAAATTGCAACATCAGGCGGTTCTTCTTAGACGTATAAACATCAACGATCATAGCAGGCTACAGAAAAGTTTATGTTAACTTCAAGCAGTGATTTAGCAAATTTAAGCCAATTACACAAAGGACCTACTTGTGGACTGGGTATGCAATGCTACTTGATAAATCAAAATAACACCTGGAAATGCATATAAAACATCATATTCTTGGGTTCAAAATCAGGTCTCCCTAGCATTTCTTGAGGCCAGATAAACCTACACCATTTCTCCTTGGCAGTAGTCAAACCTATGTCAGATTAAGCAAAAGAATGGCAGTCCTCCAGTCAATCCAGAACCTTCAACACACGAACTCTTTGTAAGTATTCAATACTATCCTCTCTAGTCTAACAATGTATAATGGATCATGTAGATTTATTGAAGAAGAAAGATATTTTAAAAGTTCTAAACAGGATGACTAAACTAAATCAATCTGAACTACATCTGAATGCTTTTAATGTAATAGCTTACTGGATAATTTGTTAAATATAGTGTCCGACTTAATGACTTTTATAGAAGGTTTAATGAATGAACAGTTACATGCCCAGAACAAGGAATTTGATGTAGAACTTTTCTGGAATGATTTTGGAGTTACTGATGTGGAAGAATTTGGAACATGTGTGAATAAAGTCTTCATGTTGTTTGTATTAGCAGTCTTTGAGTGAGTTTCTTTGTTCCATACATAAGTGTCCTTAAGTTAGTGGCCTGTGTACACACGTAACTACACATGCAACTGTCTTCCTGAATTATTAAATAAATTCTTTGTAAGTTGTGAAAAGTAGATCCCAACGACTAACCCTTTTGGGCTCAACTGTTAAACATATTACACTAACACTTGTTAACTGAGGAAGTATTATGTTATATAAAAATAATTATTAAATCTTTCAAATATGCATCTTAAAACATAAGTAACACATAATTAAGTAAAACATAAAACAAAAACCTAAATACAATTCAACTGTCTATCTAACTAACATATTTCTGTATGGAATTCTTCATGCCAATTTTAAAATAGCTATTGGAAAATTATATTTTAAAATGTTCTCTTTCTATTGGTTATAAACATCTAAATCAACTAAGTATAATTGGCTGAGAAATCACAATTCCATGTGTAGAAAGTGGACGTGGCATCTGTCAAGAGTTCTAAGAAATTTATTTCTCTTTTCTCTGAATGTGCCCCAAGGAACTTGAAAGAAGAATGTGTACACGGAGAAATTAACTTAGTTTCTATCTATACATGAAAGTTTAGTGTATATGAAGAATTAATCTATTTACAGAGATGAAAAGTAAAGCGTTTGTGAAAGTAAGTAACACACGAGAACAAAAACTGAAGATTAAGAATTTTTCTTTTAGGTTTCTTTTGAAATAAATGAATTAAAACTGAAATAATACGAAACTTTAGACTACATTGTAAATTTTAATGCCAATTTCACTGGTATACAATGATCATAAGACTGCTTAATTAAATTTTGAACGTAACTAAGTAAAATCGTAAACTCTCATGACATGTGCAGAAAGGGGACCTGTAGGCTTAGGATTAAGGAATAATTAACTATGACTAAACAATACCCACTAAATGTACATGTTAAGGAGTAATGAATGATGAAAACATTACTTTCTAAAAGACATACAGAGTAAGGAACTATGACTAAACAGTATATTCTGTATGTTATATCTGAAGAAGAAATGAACCAGAACTAAACATTAACATCTAAATGTATATATTAAGAAAAGTGACTATTTCTAAACATCAACTTTGTGAATATGGAAAGGATCAATGAAATATGACCAAACAAGATATTCTAAGTGGGACAGGGTAAGGAGGAATTAACTACATCTAAACATTATCTCCTATGTGTACAAGGAAATGAGTAATGAACTATATCAAAACAATATCTTCTATGTACAATGTCAAGGAATAAGAACTGGAACAAAATATTAACAAGAACATGTACATGGCAAGGAATAATTAACCAAGACCAAGCATTATCTTCCACGTGTATATGTGAACAAGTAATGAACAAGAACTAAACATTATCTTCTAGATATACAAGTTAAAGAATAAGGAACTAGAAATGAACATTAACAGTTATGTATAAATGACAAGGTAGTACATGTGAAGAAGTAATGAACTAGATGTAAACATTATCTTCTATGTGGACACATTAGGGAGTAATAAACCAGAACGAAATATCAATGACTATGTGTTAGATTTGAAAGAACAACTAGCTGTAACAAAACATTAATGTCCATGTTGACATAATATGGTATAATTAAGTATGACTAATCATCAATATTTATGTGTACATGTGAAGGAGAAACATACTATGACTAAACATAATATACTATGTGGTATATGTTAAGGAGTAAGTAACTATGATTAAACATTATAGTCTATATAGTACAAATTAAGGAGTAACGAATTAGTTCTGAACTATATATTATATGTGGACATGTTAAGCAGTAATAAATGATGTCTAAACATTGAGTCCTAAACAATACCTTCTGTGTTACCTGGTAAGGCAGGAAGGACAAGGCATAAAAGAGTGGAAGCATATTCAGACCTGAAGAAAATGCTGGGTGCGGCACCAACAAGTCGGGAGAAGAAAAACACAACGAGTACAAGGCATACATAAGGCAGGAAAGGTTAAGAGATATTCAGTAGGTAGAGAAGTATTGGGTGGAAAAAGTTGCTCCATTTCATCCTCAGCTTCAAAATCTGTGAATGGAAGTGTGTAACAGAGATGGAAGAAGAGGGTCCAGGCAGCAACGTGGACCCCACCACACATTGTACAATATTATGTTACTCGTCTTCTAACTGTATTTGGTATTTTTCAACCCGAGCCACACTTTTCACAATATATGATGACAGTCAAAATCTGAACAGACAAAAAATTTTCTAAGTTGTTGGTAACTGTGAGTGATATTTGTACTCACATCAGGAGAAAAAGAATTAATGTGATTCTGTGAATTTATATTGAAAGGTTGATAATATACAAAGTAAAGTTGTTGAAGTAAATCAAGTCAACTAGTCTCAGCAAAAATAAACATTTCTCAACACGACTGGGTCGGATAAAAGAATATAGAGGGAGCATCTGCACAAGGAGGTGTGTCAAACTCCTACTGGTGGAGGGTTTTGCTTCATGATACATCATCATGCAGTTGTGCAAATTCATGTGTTTCATGTGAATTGCAGGTGGGAGTTTCTCAAGACTGGTGGCATGTAAATCTCTAAAGCAGAACAGCACAACTACATGACAAAAATAGCTGTTCAGTGTTGAGTGTTGGAAAGCCAGATTTTAGATTAAGATTTGGCAGTTTGAATACTATACATTTTTTAAAGGTTTGGCAATCTCAACAGCATCAATAAGGTACTATCTGCCATTTCTATCTACAAGTCAGGTTGTGGCTTAGGCTTTGTGGTTTGCTGTTATAGAACACTGCTATCTACAAGTCAGATTTTGGTTTAGGCTTGGTGGTTTACCATTGTATAACATTGCTATCTAAAAGTAAGTAAAAGCAAGGTTCTTACTTAAAACTTTAGATGATTCATGCTTCAATACTTATTTATATCTACATCATTGGATAGTACTAGGTCACTTTTGTTCTTTACAAAACTAATCTTATTCATTGATACAGTAACTTCTGTTATTAAGTACTTCTCATAATTAAAGTTCAAGTAAAAACAACTTTGGTACAACACCCTTATGTAATTCATCAACCTGGTAAATATAAACTTTGACATTAGTCAAACCAATTCTTTCATTTACTGTAACTTGAAAATATAATTCACAACCAGTGTTTGTTGTGCACTCATGTTGTAATTATAATTAAAAGGATTTTTGACTCATTCATTTTACCTTCTTCTTTCACAGAAAGAGGCACCAGTTCAGGTTGACGAATACGAATGAGCTGCTCACCAGATGACAAAGACCATACCCTTGAATCTCCAGTATTGTTTACTTCCCCAATTTCTCGAGGATACGTGTGGATTTGTATTAAGTCCTACAAAAAGATTAATGATAGTATATCAAATGTATCTCAGCAGTTATTCATAATTCTATTTAAATAATAGAATTAATCAACTAAATGTGGCATCTATTATATCATTAACTACTTGGAAAGTCTTCCTGTTATTGATTGTGAATTTATGTATGTGTGTGTGCATATCAACATAAGTTAATTATTCATATACTCATAATAACAACCTGAAGATTTATTATGGAATAAAATTTAGAACAGTTATGTTTATTGCCAATAAGTTGACAAATTCAGCAATATAAAATCATCAAAAACAAATAGTTTGAACTCTGTATAAATGGATATGTACAAAGATGAAGAAAATATGGTTTAAATGAAACAATGTGTGAAAAGTCTTAAAGGCTTGAGATGTTCCCTTGCAGTTTCATGCAACCTTTTAAATGTTAGATAGGTAAGCATTAAATGGTGGGAACACAAAAACTGAAACATTATTAAATTGTTCAATTGCTTTATTAAGCTTGCATCTGCAGCTTTAATATGTATCCTTGACCTTAGGGTCATCTTGAAACTTATGCACAACTAGTCTATAACAGACATGAATTTCAGAGAAATTATTCAAAAAATGGTTTAACCTTTCAGTAATTACGATAATAAATTTGGCAATAAAGAAGTAATATAATTATAATGATTTTTAATATGTTCTTGTCTATCAACCTCTAAAGTTATGGTAACATTATTAAGCAAAACTAGAATCATGCTAATGACTTCAAGAAGAATCAAAAAGTATAGGTTAAACTGACACTGATAACAACTACTTAGTCTTCAGGTTCACAAACAAAACTGGCATCTATAGCAGCTAATTATAACCTTCAAGCTCATGAACAAAGTAATATCTATAGCAGCTAATTATAACCTTCAAGATCATGAACAAAGTAACATCTAGAGCAGTTCATTATCACTGTTAGATTCATGAACAATGCTAACATCTATAACAGTTAATTATAATTTTAAAGTTCACAACTATACTATCATCTGTAATAGTTCATTATAACCTTCTGATTGATGAACATATTAAAATCTATAGCAGTTAATTATAACCCTTATGTTCATGAACAAATTAGCTTGTAGCAGCTAATTATAACTATTGGTCTTATAAGCACAATAATACTTACAAACCTATTTATAGGTACAAGAACAAACTAATATCTACAGTAGATAATCATAATCTTTAGATTTATTACTAAACTAATATCTACAGCAGCATACTGAAACCTTTAGGTTTGTTAACATACTAATATCCACAACAGCTAATCATAACCTTCAGTTTCAATATCTACAACAACATACTGAAAGCTTTATGTTCGTGAATATATATCTATAACAGCTAATCATAGCTTTCAGTTACATGACTAAACTAATATCTATGGCAACACATTGTAACTTTACAGTTTTTAAATGCAATAATACCTACAGCAGCTAATTATAACCTTAAGAACCAAGAAAAAATAGTCTCTACAGCAGCTAATTAAAGCCTTAAGAGCCAAGAAAAAAATAGTCTCTGTACCAGCTAATTATAACACTTAGTTTTAAGAACAAACTAACATCTACAACAACTAATTATAGCATTTGGTTCATGAAATAAATACAGAAATTAAACTAAAGACTGCAATCACTTTTATGAACTACGTACTGTATTAGTTTTAAGAATTGTTTAATGTATGACAAGTGAAAATAATGTCATCCCAGAAGCATACAGAGAAAAGTTCTGCTATAAAAAACAATTAAGTAATGTATGTTGCAAGTGAGCTGGTAGTGTACTAAAATATATTCCACTTTTCTACAATCATTTCAAAATATGAACAATTGCAAAATGTTAAAATAACTATTTCAATATAATGACCATGTGAAAATGCAATTGTAAGCCATTTCATTTACCAGTAAATGATTCTCGAATGTTTGTATGTGGCTTTATTCTAACTTTGGAATGAGTGGTGTGATACATTTTTTTTATAATTCTAAATATGCTTTGAGAGAGTAAAGCTTGGGAAACAGTAAATTAAAGAATACAATTAGTTTACTGACCACTTTAATGGATGACAGATAGATATATATATAGATACATAATACCATCCTGGAAGTACAAAGAAGACTAGCTAAAGATTACAATCAGTTTTATGGATCACTTATTGTATAACAACTATAAGTAATGCCATCCTAGAGCAGGAAACAAAATCTAACTAAACACTGCAATTAGTTTGTTTATGACAACTACACACAATGCCCCCTAGAAGTATGTTAACATATTCTTGATTAAAGAATAACATATGATTAATAAATAGTTTAGCCAATGAGAATATTCACTTTCAAGATAGAAATACTGTCTACATAAAAGTGATCTTTCTCTAATGGAAAATTTTACATACAGTACTAGATTACTTCATCAGATTATTAAATATTACCTTTTAGTTTCCTCAGTAACAATAAAAAAGTCCTAAATGTATTAATTCTATATTTGACTTTCTGATTCAAGAGTTTTATTTATAGAATTTTTTTCTTTTAATTACTTTCTCACATGACAATTTTACTAACTTTTTGATCCAACAGGCCTAATGCCACTCCAGCAAAATCTTGGCTGGTTGCCAAGACATGTTGAGACTCTGGATTGTCACTCAGTGGTTTAAATAACTGATTCCCTCCAATAATCCCATCAATTTGGCCAGGATATCCTGATAATGAACTCTCCACTAGTTTTTGAAGAGTCCATTGATCTACGACCTGATATTCTAGCAGATATCTATCCAAGTAAATATACAACTTACACATTAAAACTATTATTAAAAGACATGCTGATAATATATACAACAAAATTAACAGCTGTAACAATGAATGAACAATCTTACAAGTGTAATTAAACTACTTTATTATCAATGCATGTTAATAGACTTGGCACCAAAACATAGTTTATACTTCAAGTTTTTATATTATCTAAGTTTTAAACATTTAAACAAATTCTCAATCTGCATCTTTGAGTCACAAGATATGGTGGCATTCTCATTTAGGTTATTTCTCTCCCCTTAAGGGCTTCAGATTGTTCAACCAATTAGAAATACATATTATAGATATTGACAAGTCAGAATATAAAAGTTCAACATTCTATCTTCTTGATATACTAAGATATCAATATATTTGTTCCATTCACATTGACATACACCTCTGATGTCCTCTGTCCTTTAAGAAATGTCTATAATTGGCTCTGACATTGCTCTTGGACATGTTTATAACCAATAGAAAAATATAAATTATATAAATCAGATGATTCTCTGGTTTGTTTTAGCAGTCAAAGCCAATAGTCCACAGGGAAACTATGATGTGTTTAGACTAAAGACATGTTTCCAAACAATAATGAAATTTTTTAACCCTTTTATAGATTAGTTAGAAAGCCAGGTAAATTATAGTAGTTTTGGGACATTCTGTTCTAGTGCCTAATATATTTTTTGTGGTTTAGAGTGCATACCTAAAAGAGCAGTTGTATTAAGTGGCCTAAAACTGTTAGGATAGATAACTGTCATTGTCTATTACAATCTGCAATCATTCTAGAAATAAAAAGATGTACTTCTGATTTTATTTCACATCTTTCAATTTTTCAAAAACTGTACATTAAGAGCTCTGTACTAATTTACATCCTGATTACATGCATGTTCTGAATATTCTGTTTATGTATCATTTTAAATATAAAGCAAAGAGATATTTGTAACACATTTAAATTACCAATCTCCACTTTACTAAAAAAAAGTAAAATGGGGGGGGGGTGAGTCAGAAAACAATTACTGGTAACTCAGACAATGTTTCCATATCCTTTGCCCATATGTTATTCATTCGGCTGGTCAGTACCTATCAAAATACCAAGATGGACAACACAAAAACTTCAGGCAGCACAGGAAAATCCCAATTACTACATGGATTTCCTGGATGCACTTGACTCTGATAGCTTAGAGGATAGTGATGGTGAATTTAGTGGCTTTAGTTTAGTTAAAGATGTAGAGGAACATAGATGAGAGGAAGAAGAACATGCTTCATCAAGTACCAGCGACAATGAAGCCACGCATAGCAAACAAAAGCATAGGCATTGGGAGAATAAGGCTGCTTCACCACACGATATGTGGACTACAGTTACAGTTATTATGCCTCCTACACAGAATACTGGTGGCAACAAGCTTCAAAAAATAAAACCTGTGCTTGACCATCTTCATAGAAAATTAGAAGAAAAAATTCATGCCATTTCAAAATCTATGCATTGATGAGTGTCATGTTGTTGAAAGGAAGACTAGACTTCAAGCAGTACATTTCATGAAAATCTTTGTATTTTATGATGTAGAAAGTCACTACGTGCATGATTTTATAATCAATACAGGAAAAGATATTGAAATAGATCATGATACAGAACTGATCTGGTGGTAAAAACATTCATGTCAGGTTATGTTAGTAAAGTACATATACTGTATGTCAATAACTGGTATACTAGCCCAACACTGTTCTGCTATTTACATGAACAAAATAGTGGTGCATGTAGAACAGTGTAGGCAAATTGGAAATTTATGCCAGCACTACTGAATGTAAAGAGTGGTGAAGCAGTGTCACGGCACTGCAATAATATTTTACGTGTACAATGGCAAGACTACCTCATTGTGCACATACTTTCCACTGTTCATCAAGACATTATGGTAGACAGTGAGAAGCACAGTGGTGACATAGTGAAAATGCCTGCTTGTGTCATGGAGAACAATCAGAAAATAAGAATTGTAGATAAGCGTGAAATGCTCATAAGCTGTATCAAGTGTGTAAGAAAGAGTACAAAGGTTGTACATCAAACTTTTCTTTTCACATGCTTGACATATCAGTGCTAAACATTTTTAATATGTACCTAGTGAAACTGAAAAAAAAAAACCAAACTGCATGATTTCAGTGAGGCAATTATTCACCAACTGAATGACAAATATTACAGGGCCAGTGCATTATCAAGCCGTCATGTAGGTACACATCAATCACATTTGGTGGAAAGATACTTTCCTGAACCTATCCCAACCATGGAAGGTAAGCTAAGAGCACAACATAGGTGTCATATTTGCTCCCACACTACTCAAGGGCAGAAAAATTTCAAAAACATACTGCATGTGTAAAGGCTGTAATGTTCCTCTGTACATACACTCACGTTTCCAGGCGTACCATACACAAAGAGACTACTAAAAATACGTACTAAATAGTGCATACTGAAAGGTGTATACATTATGATGTAAAGAGGAATACGTCATATGGCTATCAGAGTCACAGCCCAAACATTTATTCATTTGGAAAACTCACAACACATATATGTAGAGTTTTACTATATTGTTATATATATTATTCGTTTCAGAAAAAATAAATCTTTTTCGAATGGTAAGACAAAAACTTAATAGACATTTTTTATTTATTTATTGAAAAATGCCACACTGGGGGTACACTTAACATTCAGAGCAGCCACAGTCAATGGGTTAAGGACAAGAATATTTCAATCAAATTTTACCTGTTTTTCTCCTGTGATGACAGAAGAAAGGCATTCTTATTTATTGCATGAACAGAGTGTACCTTAAATGGAAGTTCAACAGTCCAAGTAAACTTTGAGTCAAGTTCCATGATATCAATTTTGGTTCTGTAACAAAAATATAACATTAAAGTTTGGGTTCTAAGTTTCAAAATATTTTATCTTAGAAATTTCCAGTGTCATATTGTTAACATAGAAATATCAAGAAAACTAGTTCATTTGAAAAGTTTGTAATATTCTAATTCTATTTTTTTCATTTTTATACAAAACATCACATTAATTTGATTTGTATTTTTTCTTGGAGGGATGTAAATTTTCTTCATATTTAGGGTAAGTAACCATATTAATCCTATCGACCTCGATACCCTTTATTGTGCATGACACAAGGTTTTACATTACAAATTGTATTAAACTACTTTTTGTTTATGTTATACCAATTAGAATAGCATAAAATCTTAGCTAATAATCAATATTTTAATAGTATACAAGTTTTAATTTCTTAATTCTACATGGCAATATTTAAAAAAGTATTGAATTTCCATTAGTGTGATCCACGTGACACATTTTGTCTTTGCATGTCATCATCCCTATCTTATCTCTCACCCATCGAAAAAGTATGAAATTAAACGTAAAACACTCCCTACAAAATCGTTATTGCTCAAACAAACCCTAATTTTTAGAGCCTTCAATTTTGTTTGGTTACAGAGTTATCAAATAGAAAATCAGACCCCTCCTGTCACATCCTCTCTTTCACAATTCGTTGATAGTTCTCTCTTACATTTCATTATACATAACTATAACCAATAGAAAGTCAAGGTTTTCATCTATCAAATGACATATTGTATAACATATTAATCGACAATTTCACTCAGAGTACCAACATCATTGGGAAAGTTAACAACAAGCTTGAATGAATTTATTACGGCTCTTGTCGCATAGTTAAAAAGCCAGAAAAATTTTGAGAGGTAAGTGAATTTGTCTACTTTTTGCAAGTTATTAGTCTATATTCTTTGGTGCAATATTTAATCAAATAAAAATTATTAAGTACATTACTATCTATAGTATAAAAAATTAGGGTTAACTCTCTTCGAAAGCTGACAACAAGAAAAAAAAGATTAGGTAAGTAATTTATTTCTTGTTTTTCATATTTATTCTTTATTTATTATTGTAAGAGTAACTAAAATCG